CCAAGCAGCATCATAGGAGCAGTGTTCATCCAGCTCTACACCTTGTTGTCTCAGATAAAGAGCTTTCCTGGTCCTATGATGCTGCTTGGCTTGCTGTGTTCATCCAGCTCTACACCTTGTTATCTCAGATTCTCCAGCATCTGCAGTTCCTACTATCTCTGTTTAAACAAGCTGTTAGTCATCTGACCTAATACCTTGTCACATGGTTAATGCTATCTTTTTAAAATGAAGCACTCTGGGAAGTTTTATTACAGTCAAGATGCATCATCGATATAAGCTTTTGATGTTGTTGCAGTGATAAAATAAATTAAATGCAGGATTTTTTGTATTCCTTAAGCTGTTCCCAATATATTGGAAGCTTGCTAACTGCGAGAGGGCTGCATCATAAAATATATTGGCTTCGTGACGTTGTAGTTTGCAAATTTTTGAAGTAGTCTGTCATAAATCCTTCTTTGTCTTTGGCCTAAAAAAGGGATTCATGGTAGAGAATATGCCACCAATGAAAATGGACAGAAGATGCACTGTTCTAAGATAACTAGATGGTTTATTGCATGATGGCAATAAAATACAACTACATTTAGACAGGCCTAATTAGTAGAACCTTAGGGAGATGGTACAGAGACATCAGCTCCCTCTGAAAGTTAGAATGAAACTCCTAGCCTCCAACCACAGACTGTGTATTATCAGTAGACAGGGTGGAGCCAACGTAACAGCAATGTTAACTCCCTTCAGAATCATTACCTGATACAAAAAATTCTTTACATCCATTTGAAGTTACAGAATTTAATACAATTAAATAATAGAAACCCTGTTTAATTTACAGTATTGATGTCCCATGTCCAAATTAACTTGCTTACAAGGGCAAGGAGTGACAGGTGGAGTTTAATTTAGTTAAATGTGAAGTGCTGCAGTTCAATAAGGCAAACCAGGGTAAGACTTGTACGGTTAATGGTAGGGCCTTGGGGAGTGTTGATGAACAAGGGGACCTAGGGGTGCATGTGCATAGTTCCATTAAAGTGAAATTACAGGTAGACAGGATGTTGAAGAACGCGTTTGGCACACATGCCTTCATTGGTCAGAACATTGAGTATAGGAGTTGAGATATCACATTGGGGCTGTGCAGGACGTTGGTGAGGCTACTTTTAGAATAATGCATACAATTCTGATCACCCTTTTGTAGGAAAGATGTTGTTAAACTTGAGAAAGTGCAGAAAATATTTCAAGAATGATGCTGGTTAAGTTACAATCAAGTTATATCTGTAAGTTGATGGAAGCCACAATCAGAAATACCACATTGTTCTCATTCAGTGCCACACTCACATGGATAACTTAAATGTGTTGGCTGCCAATATGCCTGAGTTAAGAAAGTACATGAACAGCATTCTTTTCTCATGTACATAGTTTACATAGATTGATGATTAATGAAAACTTTCATAATAAACAATGTAAAATCTGCATTATCATGATTGAGGGTGCTACCACTGGTTGGAAGCATTCCTGGAGGGTTCATCACGTGATGTTCACCTCTCAATCATGCCAGCTGAATTCTCAGTATCAGTCACCTGATGTGCTCAATGCTAATCAAAATGTGAATAAACTATTCATTATCACAAATCATCCAAGTGGATAATCAGGCAAAGGGCTCCCCCGCCCCCCCCCCCGTCTCAGAAATAATCAAATATCACAGAGTAATTACAGAATAGCAGGTAACCATTCAACCCATTGTGTCTGTTCTGACCCTCTGCAGGAGGAGTTCAGTTGGTGCCATTCTCCCACTTTTCTTAATAGTTCTACATATTTGTCCTAGAGATAGTGATCCTATCACTGAAAAACATGATAGAATCCACCACATTCTTAAGTAGTGCATTCCAGTTCCTAATTATTCACAGTGTTGGGATGTTTATCTGCATGTTACCATAACTGAAATTGGTGTCTTTGGTTTGTGATGTATTCACTAATGAGAATAATTCTTCCCTATCTACTCTGTCGAGATCCATAACAAAAATAGAAATTGCTCAAAAAGCCCACAGGCCTGGTAGCATCTATAGAGAGAAAACAGAGTTAATGTTTTGTGTCGAGTGACACTTCCTCAAACCCTTCTGTCGAGTTCCATCGTCATTTGAATACTTCTATCAAATGCTCTCTCCTCGAGGGAGTACCATCCCACCTTCTCCCAATGCACCAAAACGTTCAGTTATTGGTTTGCACAAATTCCTTTCTTGTCCTGGAAGTTAGATTTTAATTCTGAGATGCAATCATGCGGGTTTGGCTACTCTTTATGAATTCTACATCTTTTATTAATCTTAGTTAAGTTCTGTAAAAGTTCCTCTGTACCATACCCAAAGACAATTACTCCTATTCATGTTTTCGCGGTTATCCCTACTGCTTCCACAATTTGATGGCACGAGAAGCATAGGAGTCGCCTGCCTGTTGTCTCTCTATATACTTATCGCTAGACCTCCCTTTCCTACACGTTTAAATGTTCAAATCAACATTCCAACGGCAGCGAATTTTATACATTAAATTTTCATGGAGGCTTACGTTTTCGAATTGTGCGTAATTACCTCAGTTTGGTGCAGATGTTAGCTGAAGATGTCCTTGAAATACAATTTATTCTACCATTGAGGACCATTAACAATGATAAATACCTCAATTTTTTTTAAGCAAAAAGCTGTTGTTGCAGGAGTGCCATATCAGCAGGTGGCGACGTCATCCTTTTTTTAAAGACAGGTTCACAAAAGTGACTGCACTGGTTTGCGGCTGTCTCTGCTCCCACCGCGGAGACGCCTTGTTTTGTGTGTGAGGGTTTTGAGGGATACGGGGATTTCCGGCCATGCCTACATCTCGCGAGCTGAGGGGGTGGAGTGTTGCGGTTTTGTCCTTCCGCTTAGACCTGTCTGCAATCAATGTGAATGGCTGGAGGTGGAAGATGATGTGAAAGGTCTGAGCGATTGGACGGCGGCAAAGCCCCAGGGTCGCTGAGGAATAGGAAGGCGAAGGAAAAGCAAGTAGAACGTTCACCAGGAGCAAAAATCCAGGGACAGAGAGGAAGGCTACATTGTGAAACACTGAGACATAGCAACATTATAACTGGGCGATAATGTAACCGTTGAGACCCCCTCACAACGCCTGCAAGCAGCCAGCACAAGCTAACTTTCACATAGCAGCACCGCGTTCTGTACTGGAAAACATGACTGAAGAGGCTTCCGAGGTTCCCAAAGAGCTGCTCGGTAAGGAACGAGTTTAGGTTTCTTAAGAATAAGCTGGGCAATGTTTTTTTTTCGCGATGGGAAACCAAACAAGCTGACTGGAATTGCCGAATCTCTTATTTGTTGGGGTTAGATAAATATTTTCTGTCGTAGTATCCAAGAGGATATATTGCGTTTGTTTATCCACTTTCAAATGCATGCCGTTTTTAGCTTAGCTTTGCTCCTTGTTCTGAATGTGCCCATATTTCCTGTGCTTTAATCGGGGTTTGTCATGTTTTTAGTCACTTAGGAATTCTATTTTGCTTCTGTACGGAATCAAGCAAGTGTGGGCAAGTGAGTTTACTTACCAAAAGATAAATCAAAAACGTGCATCACGTGATTTCCAAGGTTACGACATGGATAATGAGTGACTTTTTAATTTAGCGATTACTTTGTTTCTCAGACAGCGTCAGGGATGTTATTGGGAGGAAGATTAAAATCATCTCTAAGAAGAAGGTGAAACTTGAAGTCAAAGGCGACAAGGTGGAAAATAAAGTTCTGGTAAGAGATCAAAAACAATAAAATTATTAAATGTACCAAGGACACGTTCTGTTGAGGATACAATGTTCAGCATTTTAACACCATATAAACTGAAATACGGTGAGATGCCGCGCTTCCACCTCGGGTCAACGCGCACTTCTTCCAAATCTATTGCACCAAACTTGTGCTAAATATCACTGCATCGTTCAAGTGAATTATCAGACGGAAACCGTGGGTATTTAGAAGAAACCCTGTAGTTTGCCAGATTGGTGTACGTATATTATTGGTTATGTTAGGGTTAGGTGGTGAAGGGGGGGGGGGTGTAGTTGATTTAAAAAATAACAAATAGTTGATGACCATTTGGCCCTACAAACCTGCTCTGCTATTTGGTTAACCTGCTGGCACAGCTCCACCTTTCATACTGTTGCACAACCCTTCAAGCCCTTTGACCTCTCTCGAGCATAATGATTAAATATCCGTTTAGGGAATTGGACAGGCATAAGGAGGGTTTTTCAATGATATTTTTTCCATGCTTAAGCATCTGAAGTCATAGCCACCAGTGGTAAAACAATTTAAAATTCAGGGGTACTGAGGAGGTGATAATGAAAGGAATGTAGATAAAGGCTCTGGTGTAGAGGTAGTGTCCTTCCCTCTGAGCCAGGAGACTGAGGTTCACTGTTACCTGTTTCAGAGGTGTCCAATATCATCTCTAGTCTGGCCAATTAGAAAATAATGGAAAGGAGTATGGACATCTTGGAGTGTTGTGGGGCTTGATGAGACTACAAAAATATGGATGGGGCAAAGTCATGGAGTGATGTGAACTTCAAAATTAAGTTGCTTTTCTGAGAGGCGTTGTAGGCCAGAGAGCTGAGGTGATAGGTGAACAGAGCTCACCTGAGTGTTAAGGCACTGAGAGCTGAGCCTCTAGTTTAGAGTGGGTAGAAAGTGGGAACCCAGCAAAGTGTGTATTGGAATTCGATCATTCCAGTGGTAATGAAGGCGGAGTAAGGGCTTCACAAAAGATGAACCAGGGCTGGTTAAATGACAGCAAAAATTACTGGAGAAACTCGGCAGGTCTGGCAGCATCAACGGAGAGAAAGCAGAGTTAAAGTTTTTAGTGAGTTACCCTTTTTTTTTGGAAGTCGGGTGACATTGTGAAGTTGAAGTAGGCAGTTTTAGTAATGTTTGCGCTGAACGGCTGAGTCTTTATTCTGAGACAAAAATGGAAATTGCTGGCAAAACTCAGCCATATCGGGAAGAAAGTAGAGTTAATGTTTCGAGTCTGGTGACTCTGCAGTTCTTTGTTTTGTCTCTTATTCTGAGACTGGCTCTGTTCCTGTTTTTTTCCCCCCCTGCCCCCCCAGTCAGAGGAAGCATTTTCTCGACGTGTACCATGTCAAGTTTCTTCAAGAATGTTATGCTTCTGTTAAATTACCAATCGTTCTGAGAAAGTCCCAAGGAATGCAGGCTTAGTTTACTCGGTCTGTTCTCATTGGAAAAAACCCCCTCATCTCAGGAATCAGTCCAGTGAACCTCCATTGCACTCCCTTCAGGCCAAATGTGCCCGCCCTTGGATAAAGAGATCAAAACACACACAATTCCAGTTGCAGCTTCACCAGTGCTCTGTATAATTGCATTAATGTATTTATTTTTATATTCTAATTCCTTGTAATGAAGACAGTAAATTATTTGTTTTTTTTTTCCTGTTGTACCTGCATGTAACTTTGTGTGATTCATGTGCAAGGGCACAGAGGTTCCTCTGAATACAGATTTTTCAATTTCTCACAATTTAAAAAAAGTTACTTTTCCTAGCAAGGTGGATAATATTCCCATTTTGCCATCTTGCCTGCCATCTGTATTAATATTTTTGCCCACACACCCAATCTGTTTTATTTTTAATTCTTTCATGGGATATAGATGTCACTGGCTGGACCATTGTTTATTGCCCATCCCTTGTTGTCCTTGAGGGTGGTGGTGAACTGCTGTAGCCCGCGTGCTGTAGGTACACACACACAATGCCCTTAGGGAAGCAATTCCAAGATTTTGACCCAGCGACGCTGAAGAAACAGCGATGTGTTTCGAAATCAGGTGGTCAGTGGCTTGGAGAGGAACATGCAGGTTGGGTGATTCCCATGTATCTGAGGTGATATGGTGACTTAGTGATTAGCACTGCTGCTTCACAGTGTCAGGAACCTGAATTCAGCCTTGGACAAATGTCTGTGTGGAGTTTGTGCATTTTCCTCATGTCTGCGGGGGTTTCTTGCAGGTGCTTTGATTTCCTCCCACAGTCCAAAAATGTGCAGGCTAGATGGAGGGACTTATAGTCCATAGTGTGTAGGTGGATTAGCCATGGGAAATGCAAGGTTACAGGGATATGGTAGGGAGGCTGGGTTCTGGGTGGGATGCTCTTTGGAGGATCGGTGTAGATTCAAATGGTCTGTTTCCACACTGTGTAGGGATGTGATATCTGCAGCCCTTGTCCTTTTGAGATGTAAGTGTTGTGGATTTGGAAAGTACTGTCTAAGCATCTTTGAGTTTCTGCTGTGCGTCTTCTACATTGTACACGTTGCTGCTAATCCTTGTTGGAGATGGAGGAAGTGGATGCTTGTGGATGTGGTGCTTATCAAATGAGCTGTTTTGACCAGAATGGTGTCAAGCTGCTTGTATTTTAGAGTTGTACCCATCCAGGCAAGTTGGGGAGCATTGTGTTGCTCTCCTGGCTTGTACCTTGTAGATAATTGATAGGCTTTGAGGAGTCAAAGTGAGTTACTCGCCACAGGATCCCTAGCCTCTGACCTGCTCTTGTTGTAACTGTATTTACATGGCTTGTCCAGTTTACTTGCTGGTCAATGGTGATCTCTAGAGTGCTGATACTGGAGGATTCAGTGATGGTAGCATCATCACATATCAAAGGGCAGTGGTGGGATTGTCTCCTTCTTGGAGATGGTCAGTGCTCAGCATTTATGTGGTGCAAATGTTACCTGCCACTTATCTACCCAATTCTGGATGTTGTCCTGGTCTTGATGCTTTTCAACATGAACTGCTTCCGTATCTGAGTAGTCGCAAGTGATGTTGAGCATTGTGTAATCATTGGCAAATGCATCCTCATTTCTGACCTTTTATGAAGGTGGTTGGAGCAGCTGAAGGTGCTTGGGCCTAGGACACAATCTTGAAGAACTCCTACAGTGATGTGCTGGAGTTAAGATGACTGACATCCAACAACCTCAATCATTTTCCTATGTATCAGGTATGACTCAAGCCACTGGAGAGTTTGCCCTCTGATTCCTGTTGACTCCAGTTTTGCTCAGGTTTCTTGATGCCACATTCAAGTCCAGTGTGGCCTTGATGTCAAGGGCAGTTGCTCTCCACTCAACCCTAGAATTCAGCTCTTTGGTTCAAAAATGAACAAATGCTGTAATGATGTCAGGAGCTGGGTAGCCCTAGTGAGACCCAAACTGGGCAACTGTGAGTGGGTTATTTCTAAGTAGCTACTTCTCAGTAGTACTGTTGATGACACTTCTTTTTTTTTTTCTATTGATGATCAAGAGTAGACTAGGACAGTAATTGGCTTAGTTAGATGTATTTTCCTTTTTGTGTACAAGGCATACCCAGGTAATTTTCCACATTGTCAGGTAGATCTGTGTTATAGCTGTACTGGAATAGGTTGGTTAGAGGTGCAGCAAATTCTGAAGCTCAAGTCATTTAGTATTGTTGCTGAAATGTTGTCAGGACCCTCGGCATTTGTGGTATCTGGTGCTTTCAACTGTTTCTTGATATCACATGGAGTGAATTGAAGATTGGTATGTGTGATGCTGGGGACTGCTGGAGGAGGCAGAGTTGGATCTTCTGTCATGATTGTATCCAGGGCAGCCAGGTGGACCTCCTAGAAATAGAATTCCCTGATTGGGGCTGTTAACCTGGTCCAATCAGGGAGCCCTGGCTGACAGATATAAACAGGATTGTCAGGGGTTTTGTTCCCTCTGAGGAAACCGGGCCAGTGTCAAGTACTATGCACATGTAAATAAAGGGTGATTTGGTGAAGGGATACTGGCCTCTATAGAGTTATTTCAGTGGCAACGAGAGGAAAAACTAGGCTCATGAAGAAATTCACTTGCTACAGTCGTCTTTCAAGTTGGGGTGAGCATCTGGGAAGCTTTACTTGTTCGATCCTGCCATTTAAGACTGCGCCCAGTATGTGGAAAGAATGCATTATTTTTTTCTGGGCAAATGACATTGGGGCAGATGAAAAGCAACGAGTTATTCTTCTGACAGCTGGTGCACATGCAGCTTTCTCAGTTATTGGGAGCCTAACATTTCCTGAGGCATCTGATACTAAAATCTTTCAAGAGTTGATGGATTTAACTAAGGATTATTATGACCCCCAAGTCTCCTCTAATTCTGAGACAGTATCAGCAGTTCAAGAACCAGGGGAATGTGTTGCAATTTTTGATGTGGTTGAGACTTTGTTTTGACCATTACTGAGTTGCTGAGACACTGTTTGGTATGTGGGATTAATGATGTAACCATATAAAAGTGCCTACCAGCTGAAGCCCAACTGGACTTCAGACAGGTGCTACAGCTGGCTTTGTCATTAGAAAATGTGCCAAGAGGAGAATGAATTAGTGTATGCTGATGGAAGTGGATGCCCTCAGCAGACCGACTGAGCTTGGGGGACACCATTTCCGTGAAGGCAACTGCACTGCCTCGCTCAGGACACAGAGCACCTCTGTTCAGGCTAAGTCAGCCCACAGCAAAATCCCCAAAACAAAGCCAAGCCTCAGCCAAATGGGTAATGCTTTCTTCAGGATGTGGGCTGCCAAACCATTGTAGCTGTTGCTGGTATGTGGACTTTACAGCAAAAGAGTCCCACTAGGCCTGAATGGAACAAGAGAACTCACAGGCTGATATTCAGAAGACTGCACCGGAAAGCCCACCTACATCTGGCTCAGAACAAAATTGTTTAGCAACATCTGAATCGGAACCATAGGTCTAAGTTGAGACGGGAACGATATAAAAATGAA